AAAACCCAGCAAATTTAACATTTAAGGTACAAAAAAAAAAAAAACAGGAAGCGTCGCAGCCAACCCTGAACATAATCAGACCCTCCATGTAATCCCAGAGTGACTCGTTAAAGCCCAACATCTGATCCGACAACATGATGGATCGTCACAAGACCCCGATGCATATCGCCAGCTCCGTGAGGCCCATTAATAATTATTTTGCCGGTCCTCAGTTTTAAAACCCTCGTTACAAAAGACAGTTTATTTGATCACGAAAATGCCACTTTAATATTCATGAACGAGGACGCGGCATGAATATTCACGGGGATGTGCAATCATAAATTCTGCTCCCGTCCAGCCCCGGACCTTCATTAGAGTGCGGATACTTCACACAAGGTTACGTGTCGGAGAGGAAAAGTATCCAAGTTGCAGACTAATTACTGTGATCGTCAAGTGAGTTATGTAAGCAAGTTCTTGGCTGCTGAAGCTTCCCACGATCTCTCTGTGTAATCAGGGGTTCCAGCAGCAGTAATACGATTTTGTATGTAGTCTGAGTTTTCCAAGCTACCCACTCAGCCAAACGTAAGCTGGCCAAGCATGTTACATCAAGCTACCCGAGGCACCCCTTCATCATCTGCTGGTGGCCAGTGGTGGTCTGTAATAGATTTGGCCACCTAGAGTACATTGATGGCCAGCTATGATTTGAAATTTTGACTTTAGGGCAGATATCAAGTATCTAGTTGGATGCAGCCTTGAAATAATGTTATCATTCATCCAAGTTCAGTATTTAAGTTCTAGAGCTTAAAGGAGAACTATGGGGGTAAGTGTTTTTCCCCATAGTTCTCCCATGGGTAACGGGAGAACACAAACTAGCGTCCTCCCGTCACCCTAAGCTCAGTATATAGGGAGCTACAGCTCGCGGTATACTGAGAGGCCGCAGCCAGGACGGATCCCGACATTAATGTCGAGATCCACCCAGCTGCGTGATTGACAGCTGGTTCTGCCTATCTAGAGGCAGAGCCAGCTGTACCCGCCCCCTCCCCCGTCCGTTCCTCCAGTCAGCGCTGGAGGATTTGAGCGGGGAATCCCTGCAGGGAGCGCTGACGGCTCTCTGCAGGGACATGATCGAGAAGTGAGCAAGCGCCGGTATGTGTTCGCTCACTTCCCGATCTATTGATCCGACCTGTGACAGTTTCATTGTCACGCGTCGGCTCCAACTATGAGGCTGAGTGATTTTCACTCACCTCATAGTTCTCCTTTAACATCGAACCTTCTCAAAAACAGGTCCACAAAAGAAAACATACGTTTTGCTTTACAACCAACTAGTAAAACATATCACCAGCACACCGCAATTAAATCTTCAGAAAGTGATCATTTTATTGATGCACACACATCTTGTCACATTGCAATGCTTCGGGGACACTTGGGGTTCCTTCCATACCAGTAAGGAGTGCAGTAGGATTGTCCTGTATCTTGCTTTACAAGCAGACACTCCAAAGTTTCTCAAGATGTCTCTACTGATACAAACGGAAGAATTTGGTCATCCCATATGTAGCCGGGGTGTCTGAGAAAATCAGAAGGGTTTTTACAAAACCTCACATCCCTGTCTACTTTACACCCAGCAATACACTGAGGCAACAACTGGTTCACCCAAAAGACCCAACGCCAAAACACAAGATGAACAACATTGTGTACGCAGTCCAGTGCAGTGAGGAGTGCTCAGAATTGTATGTCGGTGAAACAAAACAGCAGCTACACCAGCGTATGGCACAGCATAGAAGAGCCAAACCCTCCGGTCAGGATTCGGCAGTGTACCTACATCTAAAGGAAAAAGGTCACTCCTCTGAAGACAGTCAAGTACGCATCCTAGACAGGGAGGAGGACTGGTTCAAAAGTGGTGTGAAAGAGGCAATTTATGTAAAAATG